TGGAAATGTCTGTGTTAATGACCTCAGACAGTGCAGTCAGTCATCCTTACCATCTGCTAGCACTGGCACATAACCCATCTGGTCAAGCATAGACAGATGAATCATGTAGTTGGCTTCTAGACCCAAACTTCACCTCATGTCAGCTGCTACAGTTCAGTGGGATTGATTTTCTTTACACATGTCCCTGTGACCTAGTCCAGAGGTGAGCAGCTGCTTTCAGTATTTTATATAGCACCATGCTTCACCTAAACACAAGATTTCAGTGCACTGTAAACTCAATTTAGCCATGATAGAGGTCCAGAGTGTAGTTCAACACCCAAATGCAAGCAGGACAAAAGCCCTGGTAACATCATTTGCTTTCTAATTATGGATTATATCTGACAAAGAATCTATTATAGTACAGTTAGTGACTGCCAAGATCTATTCAGACAAAATCAAAGTGATTGAAAGCTATTCATGTTTTATACTACTACTTACATTTATTCAAATATCCTATGAAAACACTGATTTCCAAAACTGACCAGAAGAATAAACTAATTATTTTGTGTCACCAGTTATTAATATCAATATCCACTACTCACATTTTGTACCGAAAACATCTTTAACTCTTAAACTTTAGTGCTAATTAGCATTAAAGCCAAGGACAGCTGAGACAGATGGGGATGCCATGAGATGCCCTAGAGCTCCCTGATTGTGCCTCAGTCTTGTTTCGCTGCCAGTGGGTCAGGACGGACACACTACCACACCTCTTATCCTCTTATTTTATATCACCATTATTAGTTGTAATATCATCATCGTTGTCATCGTGGTGGTAGTACTATTCCTATTTCCATTATTATTTATTTGATCATTTTATTCTCTCCCCCTAATTTTATATATATTATTTGCTTTTTTTTTTCGCCTCCTTTAGAATGAATAAAGTGCAGTACATACAAACACAAACTCACATGAACACACCCATACAAAAAATAAATAAAAATACACCATATACAAATTCAGTGCACACATGACATACACATAGCATCCCTTTGGTCTTTGTTAATGTCCTGTATACACTGGTTTGTCTCCCTTGTATTGCTAAAGTCCTATCATCTGTGTTATATTAAAAAAAATAAATGTTTTAATGTTACACTGGGATAGACAGCATTAGAGGTCACTACCAAGCAGCAGAAGATTCTTCTTGAGACTATAAAATGTGGTCTAAATTTAGAGAGAAGAAAAGCTAATACCAATCTCAGATTATCCTGTTTCTCCAGTAATTGAAGTTTCTAACAGTGGAGTAGCTCTGAGGCCACAGACACACTGAAAGCAGGCAAAACCTGTGCTGTCCACAGTAGTGCACAATGCAATGAGACCAAGGGCATCCAGTAGAAGAAGTGACAATAAGATGAGCATTTCTGCATTGGTGTCACCTTGAAACCCAATTAGACAAAGAAAAATGGCTTGTCAAGAAAATCGTTTCTACAAGGCTTTTTCTATATATATGAAAACATAAGAATAAAATGCCTGATGGCACGCAGGAGGTTATGGTATCTGTTTCTGTGTGTGTACCAAATGGTTGTTCATATCAAATGAAGTTAGTTGTTGCATAAATGTAATTTGCCTTTAAACGTGAAGTTATTAGGCAGTAACAGTCTAATGCTGTTCGTGTTTTATTCAGTAAAAACATTTGTGTTTTGTGATACAAAGCAGTTCTGTGAAACATTTGTTTGATAAACACTTCAATATGGGAGTGATAAATGTGCCACAGACCCTAGCCAACTAGTTGCATCTGTGAATCTGGCACAAGGTTTATGAACTGGCACCCGTATTTATTCCTCTAGCAGTTTTCGCTCTTGTACCAAGTTTCTATCAACCCCCTCCGTTTTTTCTTCTGCTTTGCTTCTCGCACATGGATCCATTTTGAACCATTTGTTTCTAACCTTGAACTTCTTTTCCTCATGCTCCCACTCCCTTCTTCTGAAGGATGCCCCCCCACCCTTTGTGCTTGTATGTCTTTGTTGACCTTTTTACTGTCTAGTTTGAGAGTCTTAGGGTATGATTCAGTGCCTAAAATAAATATTACACCACATAAGATCTTTTTTTGTTACATATGAGGATGTTATTACATATTTGTTATATGTTTCATTAGACTCTTTAGCAGCTCAAAAGAAATTAGGTAAAGTACCTTTAAGCCCCTTCATATGCTGCAATCATCAGAACAGTTTCTGTGTAATCATTCAGTGATTGTACAGTACAGTGTATAGTCTAATGTATTGTATAGTGTCTGCAGCTCTATGCCACTAGTTTTTCTTCTTGCTATGATAGATTATCCTAGAAACACAATTAGTCATTTCTGTGGCCTCTCTTGAATTAACCCTGTTTAATCATTCTCTGTACCTGCCTTTAGAGAAATGAACAGAATTTGAATTTCAAACACAAATCACAAAGACAGTATCTTTCATCTGTGTGTGCATGGCCTGGTATTATTTTTGTCGTATACAGCAACACTGTGGGGACTCACCTTATTGGGACAAAAACTAAGTACCCAAAATATAAATCATAAAATTTTAGAGTGATGACTTTGTTTAAAGTTAAGGTGAGATTAGGGTTAGAGACAAACATCAGATGCAACGGTCAGCAATAGAAACAGTTTTTTTATATTGTGTGTGGGGGGGGTGCCCTGGTCCTCCATGAAGATTACACCCTAGTAATAAAATTATCTATGGCTATAACATTCACCCTGTGACAAATGACTACAAATTCAGATACTGCCACACAAGAGAATAAAGACAGTTTAACATATGATGGTGTGGGCAATTACAATTGCCACTATAGGAAAGGTGTTTATGTGGCTCTTGAAACTGTGTGGGTGCATGTGTGTGTTATAGGTGTACTTAATCAAATAGCACTACACCTCTGGGTTTATGCAAATAGTGGTTATGGTTAAGGTTAAGGTAAGTCTCCAGGAAATGACGGTAAGTCAATGTAATGTCCCCTGAAGTTATGACCAACAGTGTGAGGACACATTTTATACCATGGGAGTGAGGGTATATTGGGAAATGAAGACATTTTGACTGGTCCTCACTTTTTGACATCTTTAAACAGCTGTTTGAAGGTTAGGAACCGGTTTTAGGGTTCAAGTTAGAATTAGGTTTACCGTTAGGCTAAGGGACTAAAGAATGCTTTATGTCAATGAGTATACTCACAACTTCAGTAAGACACAACTGTGTGTGTGTGTTTGCAAGTGTGTGTGTGCTTGGCCACTGTCTGGAACAGGATATGAGGCAGGGAGGAAAGGGGTGGAGCGCTGTCCTGTCAATGGGGAATGCTTATCGCACTGAACCAGGAGATGCACACAACCACAGCATGGACACTGGTACATACTTACGCCTATAGGCATACGCTTACACAAACATACAGCACATGTGAATGCATGTGTGTATAAGCCCGCACGCCTGAAAGTGGTGCTAAAATGTCAATTAAGTGATTAGTTGCTCAAGAGAAAATTAATCAGCAACCATTTTTCTAATGGATATCATTCATCTAGAAAAAATAACTTTCTCTGGATATGACATCTTAATACTGACAATTTGCTATTTTTGTTTGTTTTCTATTATTATGAAGCAAATATCTTTGGGTTTTTGACTGTTGGTCAAACAAAATAAGCTGTTGTCTTGTTTACACAAACATTTTTTGTCTCTGCTCTACTATTCGTGTTTTTCAAGGTTATGGTAAAGAGTCTGAGGCCAGTCCTCTGAGGCACCAAAGAGATCTCACACAGCTGATACCACATTAGCTTTCACTCTCATCCTCTTCCTCCTGCCCTCCAGTTTCTCTCCCTCTAATGTCATTTGCCCTCTGCATGACTTTACTCTCCTCTTTTCCATCACTTCTTCAATATTCTGTTCTCTCCCCCATGCCTTCATCTTCTTCTGTCTTCTCTCCTAAGATGTCCTTCGTGCTCTCCTCTCCTATGCTTTACTTCATCCTTCCCCTGTACTCTTCATCTTCCTTGAGTGATAGGCACAAAACATGGTGAGGGGAGAGGAGACAGCACAGAAGTCACTTCATCAACCATAGTCTGATAGTGACCAAAAGAATAAGATTGCAAATACAAGTGGCTGAAATGAGTTTCTTTTGCGGGGTGGCTGGACTTAGCCTTAGAGATAGGGTGCGGAGTTCAGATATCCAGAAATGGCTCGGAGTAGAACCACTGTTCCTTCACATCGAAAGGAGCCAGTTGAGGTGGCTTGGGCATCTTATCAGGATGCCTCCAGGGTGCCTCTCTTTGGAGGTCTTCCAGGCAAGTTCAACTCGTAGTAGTCCTCGAGGTGGACCCAGAACACGCTGGAGAGATTATATTTCTCATCTGGCCTGGGAATGCCTTCGAATCCCTCCAGAAGTGCTGTAAAACATTTCCAGGGAGAAGGACGTCTGGACTACCTTGCTGAACCTGTTGCCACCATGACCCGATTTTGTATAAGTGGAAGAAAATGCATGGATGGATGGATGGATAGTCTGATAATTCATCGGCAGCTGTTTAGCATCATGCTACTTTGTCTTCATTAGCATCCACTGGTTTTGCTTCATCTAAAAGTCATTAGACACATTATCAAATGTACCCTTGCCCCTTTTCAGGTCTTCATTTAGAAGGAAAACTGATGTCTCTGTGCTATTTTGATATGATCAGCTTTCTACAAAATGTCATTGAAGTTGCAGGAAATTGCAGGCTATGTTAAAAACATCTGCATAGAAATAGAGTTTTAGGTGATTAAATAATTTTACTAAGAAGATATTAAATGGCCCACATTAAACAATGGATGTGAGATAACAATGTTTTATTCAAAATAGATTGATGGCCTTCTGTAATTAAATGAAAACAGATACACAGCCATTCTGCACCTTATCAGATCAGAATTGGTTATAATTTTTGGCCACAGTGCTAATGAAGGGCTCAATTGGTGCTGGAGAGCTGGATGTTTTGGTTCAAAGTTGAAATTTAGTTTGTGTTTTCACAGATAGCTACTGGAATGCTGCATCATTCACCACCCCGTCATCCTACCTACACTTTGCCACCTTCCAGGGTGAGACCAGCGCTGACATATCCTTCTACTTCAAGACCAGTGCACCCTATGGCGTCTTTCTAGAAAACCTGGGCAACACTGACTTCATTCGATTGGAGCTCAAATGTAAGATGCATCTGATTGATTTTGTCTGTGTGTGAGAGTCATTTCTGTCTGTCTGTCTTCTTCTCTCTCTCACTCTGGCTCTTTATCTAACTCACTGTGGGGTTTAATCCAGCAGTCAGTTTGGGAGCAACCTGTCAGCACACACACAACCACACAGACACATGGGCGGATGCAGACACAGACCAGCAACAGCCATTTGCTTTCCTGATTATGGCACACCACTTTGTGTGATTGCAAAAGAGAGCAATCATTTATTTAAGGTAATTGGTGTGTGCAATAATTATGTCCATTAGGAACCTCTGTTTAACCGAATCACCCATTTTCAGGGATGACAAAACCCCTCTCTCTCACATACACACATGTACACACATTCTGTCATTCTTCCTCCCTCCCTCTCTCTCTCTCTCTCTCTCTCTCTCTCTCTCTAAAAGCCATTCGTGCAAATAGGAGCATGTAAATCTCTTTCAGGTTCACTCCCGCAACCTTTTCTACAAGACTCCGATGCACACACACGCACACACAGAGACACTAACAGGGTTGCTCAGTGCTGCCAGTAAATGGGTAAAATGTATCAGTGTTCCTCATATACATGCAGACACATGCTGCATTCAAAATGATACCCAAATTTAAGCATTAGTGAAACCTGAAGTTAAAAACTGCTCAAATATTCAGTTAAAATCAGGATTTTCCTGGCTTAGAGGACAGACAAACTGCGGTAAACTCTAACATTAGAGTTAATTTATTTGACATTCACAGCCTGTGGTAACTCGTAACAACTTAAAAATGAGATGAGCGGCTTTAAATGTCAAATGTTGTTTAAATATTTATTTGACAGATTAAAATAACAGGTGTGAAATACTTATTTTTGCATATTTTATCATTCAATCATTGTAATAACTGTTAAGTGGCTAACTTTAAATTACAGATATTTTCACTGTGAATTTGACTACAGATATTTACATAATGCGTTCATTAGTGCAATTCCAGTGCTCGTTTTGACCCAAAATATCGATAATGATAACACCTGCTCAGACCACCTCTTATTGCATTCACAGGTGCAATTTTCCTGACAAGCACATAGGCTGGGAAGCACGAGATCAGGTACCTAAATGTATTTTAAAGACCACAGCAACATAAAATTAACCCTTAAATCCACTGCTGATCTGCTGGTATTCACTCTGGATAATTTATTGTGTTTCATGAAGATTATTGTTAATGGAGATAAATAAACGTGGTATGTGGCTATAAATATGAATATGGTTAAACAGTGTTGACGCAGATCAGGACGCACCATCTGTAGCCTACTTAAAGGATGCAGCCAGAGGTGATCTGCAGCCGGTGTTTGGGAATCCACATGAAAGCAGCTCATGAGCCAAGATAAGTAACAAACACCCTGCAGACATCTCAATTAATCCTGTTACGCAGCAGGTAGAGTCAGTCCGACCTCACTGTGGCTGCTGTCGCTGTTAAGTTACAATTTCTTCAAACGAATAAGTTTCACACAGACATACCTTCATTACCATGTAGATACATGTTGTATCTGTTTTTACATTTTGTGGCCCTTTGATCAGTTTTGAAAGCAGCTGTAGGTGGAGGTAAAGTGGGCGACACCTCCACTGGCTCTGCGCTCTGGCGGACCACAAACAGTATGTTTAAGTGTTATTTCCTCTGCTGTTAAACTCTGGTTTAGAAACTGCTATATAAATAAACTATTACTTACTTAGTTACTTACAGTGATTACAATATAATTTTATTGTATTAATTTAAAGGCAATGAAAAGTTTATAAGGTTACAAGCAAGGCCCCTGTGGATTTCCCACACTGAATGCAGCTGTGAGTAAATTCTGTCTTCCTTGCACAAAAGCTGGTCAGTGATATTAGCAGACTACTGGGTGAATAGTTATGTACAGTACTTCTACTTAAACAGTTTTGTCACTGTCAGTCTAGTACATAACTGGTAGAAGAAGATACATAGAAAGAATCTTTCGTCTCATATATTTCCATGTCATGACATCAGTCAGTCAGGTTTCTGCCCTGCTCTTTAAAGAGGACCAGAGGAGTGAGTTTGATTGCACATTAAAGTCAGCCCCAACTCCACCTGCTCACAACGTATTTCTCCGTTTAATAATCTATTTCACCTCGCATCATCAGTTGCATCACTATTGTCATGTTTTGATGACGTTAGAAAGTGGATGACCTTAAACTTATTGAAGTTGAATGATACGAAGACTGAGGTTATAGTGTTTGGTCCAAATAACTCTGGTGATTTTCCCCCAGTTGATTTCGGTTCCTTGGAACGGTACGTGCGGTCCACCGTCACTAACCTTGGTGTTAAAATAGACTCTGTTCTTAGAAGGGAATGTCAGGTGAATGCAGTTGTACGGGCCAGTTTTTATCACCTCCGGCAGCTGGCAAAGGTGAAGCCCTTTCTTTCACGGCAGCATTTTGAGACGGTAATACATGCATTTATTACGTCTCGTGTGGATTATTGTAATGCACTATATTTTGGGCTCAGTCAGGTCGCCCTTTCCCGCCTCCAGAGAGTCCAAAATGCTGCTGCTCATCTATTGGTTGGAGGGCGTAAAAGTGACCATATCACACCCATTTTGGCTTCCCTGTATTGGCGACGCCTAAGTTGTGGAATGCATTGCCCCTTTATATTAGACAGGCCCCCTCGTTGTCCACTTTTAAAACCTATTTGAAGACTCATCTGTACCGTCTGGCGTTCGAACCAGTATGATCCTGTGTCTTGTTGAGCTTGTGATTTATGATGGGGGGTTGTTTTAAGTATGATGTTTTTGTTTTGCTGTTCATTTATGTTGTTTTTTAAGGGGTGTTGTGGATATTGTGTTAAGCACTTTGGTCAGCTTCGGCTGTGTTAAATGTACTATATAAATAAAATTGATGATGATGATGATGATGATGATCCACCTCTCCTACACAATGCAGCTGGTAACACCTGGCTGCGCACGAAAGTCCACTGCGTCTTTGGTCATCAAAATTGCAAAACACTGAGCATGCCCATATTCACCTTGCACCTGGAGTATAGACACAAATTTAGTGTTGTGCCCTGATGCAGGAAAATAGAACCCTCGGTGTCAAAGACACTTGCTGACCATATGTTGCTGGTGTGCCTGATCCTCCATTATCCATCAAAATTCCAACATTAAATAAAGCCCTTACAATAAATAGCATTATGTCAACTGTTATGTGGCCTTAAAGCTCCAGAAGCTTATTAATGTCTTTGCCAGTATTTTCTTACAGCTAAGAGTCAAATACATACCTATACATGCATTCACCTTTTCTTGCAGAATAAAACAATGTGCTGTCACATGCAAGTACAGTGAGAAGTTTGCCAAATGGGGTTGTACTTCTCTTCTAAATGTGCATACAAAAACACACACAGACACAATAAATAACTAGCCTGTCATGGCTGCACAGCAGGCCAGAGGAGATAGGGACTGTGTGTATGTGTGTCTCCTGAAGCTTTCAAAAAGCCCCCACATCGATTTCCTCTCTCCCCACCCTCACTATCATCTTGCATTTTGCCCCAAAGCACACATTTGCAAAACAACTTGCATGCACATACACACACTCATACACATAAACACACACATAATCTGTGCCCTCTTACTGGTGCAAAACTGTATCTGGTGCAATCCAGTCAGGGCATGAAATTACTAGCATTAAGCCAGAATAGGATGGCTGTGCCATTGCAGGACCTCACAGCGTATAAACACACACTCTCAGATACACACGCGACCTTGTACAAAACACGCTTTACTGTAAACTCAGCAGAATCAAAGTCATCAGGTAGGCACTATTCCTCTTTGAATCTTAATGGAGAGAATTGGGCATAGAGACATTTGAAAGGCAGCATTAAAGACATTCAGAACCATGTGAACTGGACTGGTAAAAGGACTGAGGATAGATAAAAAGGTCCCTAAATATAGAAATGCTTGACTTCTGGAGTGCTGTGGCTCAGTAGAAAGTATGTATGCTTCATGTTTTGAGTCTGTAAGAGGCTGCACTTTCCCTGATAGTTTTGCCCAAAGGTTATAAACATTTCAGTCTGATATCCAGCTGAGAAATATATTTTGTTGCTGGAGACCTCAGCTTATAAAACTGTACTATTGTATTTATGTGAAGACCAGACAGACACAGCTTACATCTGAAGTTTAGTAGTACTCTGTGCAGCTCTGGCTTTTTAAAGTTGTCAAATGTCTCTCTGACTTGTTAAAGCAATATATAGTTATGTACCAAGGAGAAAAGTTACCAGGCAGTTTTTTATCCAGCCTCTTTATCAAGTAACTGTCAGAAATAAATTTTTATCTATCTGCTCACTATGAAATACACAGGATTCTTTGCATTGTAGGCATGCAAGTCTTATTCTGATAAACGAGTTATCACAAAGAGATGCTTAGTGTTTTAGAAGTTGTTTTAAATCTTGTTTCAGTGTCAATAGCAGCTGATTTGCCGGTGTACTCTGAATTTGGCTCGCACTTAAATCCTCTGCCATCCGTCTGATAATAGATGAAGAGTAGCAAGATGGAACATCTCATTAGACAAACACGTGCAGACGTTTTGCACACCCACACAAGCTGTGGTCGTTCACAAAAAGACATACACAACCTCCTTCACTATTTATCATTATTTGGTTGGGCTGTGCTGACGCATAATTTAAGACTTGGATCTTTCAGCCTCCATATTAAAAGATTAATAGAAAAACAAATAGTAAGCATAAGGAGGGTTGGTTTTTCTCCAGGTAAAAATACAAGTATATGCACGCACACACACAAAATGACATTAACACACGCATTTACACTTATTACACCCATCACAGCTATGCAATTAGATGAGATGAGTTCTGTGCTCTGGGGGTACTTTAGTTATCATTCCCGCCTGTGGACCAACTTGTTACCCTGGCACTCTAGCACAGAAGTCCTGGAGCCCTCACATTAAAGTGGTAAGACTAGCCTGTCTGTGGTTAACCAGTACAGG